CATGAGATATGCTTGCCAGAGAGACCATGATCCACCCGCGGGGTCCAGACTCGCAAGCGGCAAGTGCACGCTGGCGGAGATATCTTGCGCAAGATCTTTACGCGCACGCTCGAGACGACTGCGCTGAAGCTGACCATTAGATTGGGTAAGATGACGGTGGAGATTCTGCAAGACAGTGCACACACGATCCCCACCAACACGCAACCATGCCATGCAGCGGTCCCTGGCGCACTTTACCCAAAACGTGATCCTTAGCCCCCTGGAAAATCGGACCAGGCCCCCTGGATCGCCCTTCCTGAGAAAGCCCATGATGGTCCTGAATAGCGGGTTCGACCGTACAAACCCATTGCTCGCAAAAGCGCACTGACACCCAAGATGCGCCCTCAACCTGCAGCAAACGCGGCTGCATCGCGAATGACTGGCCAGACACTGCCGTAGTCACGGGCAGGTATGTAGCCAACCTCCTGCTTAGCCGCGGCCCACGTCTCTGAGGACATGCGGAAGCCAGGTGGGGAAGGGAGGGGGGGAGAGGAGACTGAATCCCCTCCTGACTGTCAGCACTTACGGGGGCTGGGGGCTCTTGATTATCATCCGCGGGCACGTTGAACTCATCTGCGGCCTCTCCGACATCAGGGAAGAGATCGCCATCTTCGCTCGGGGCGCGAGCCCCAGGTGGAGGGCCCAGGGGGGAGGACAGAGACAGGGGAGCGCCATAACTCTCTTCGTCGCCGTCGCCACCTTCAGCTCCACCAGCGGCAGGCGCGCGAGAGTGCGCAGACTGACTGACTTGAAAGCCCTGCTCGTGCAGGTCACCGCACAGCTCGTCGTATTGCTCGTCGGCAAAAGCCTTGGCAGCTAGCCGTCGCTCGTTGGAGGCGGCTTTACTCTTACTGGACTTCGACCCAGGCACGGGCATGGCTTTCGGCCGCGGGACCTGCGGAAGCTTCCGCGCCATTTTGAGCACTCGACAGAGCAGCTGCTGGGCGGAGGACCTCAAACGAACGATAGGCCCGCAGTGGGGCCCCCGCGGGACGTCAAGGCAGCCGTCGACAGAGATGAGATAAGGGATGCTAGAAGAGCTGGCGACGATGTAATCGATATGGGTGCCGCCACCGAGCGCACGCGTGTAAGCGAGGGATGCCTGAACGACGACACCTCCCACTCTCTCCAAAAACCCAGCTCGCTGCAGAGTAGCCGCAGGCAGGTTAAAGTCGCCCGCCACAATCCACGGGGGCCGACATTGGAGGAGCAGGGCTCCGAGGCGCGTGAAACGCTGCAGGTCCCTGCCCGCGATGCCTTCCTCGCAGAAGCCGTAGAAGGTAATGAGAATGAATGAGAAGCCTTTCTGGTGGCAGACTACCGCAGTAAACCCATCTAAGGCGCTGGAGCCGTCGGCAGCGAGATCGCTCCATACCGCCTCAGAGGAAGCAAGGGAATGCACCTGGAGGTGTTTTCGAGCTAAAACCCATTCCCCCCCCTCGTTCGCACGGGCTTGCCCCTTCAGAGTGATGGCCGTGCCTGTGGCTCGAGCGGGGCTCGCAAAAAACTTGAGGTGCGCCTTGCTGGCCAAATCCAGCCAAGGCGCGAGTGGGTCGGCAGACTCGACATGAGTCTCACAGACTGCAAGATAACGAAAAGACTTCAACCTGGCACCTGTGAGAAAACACCGCGCTTTCTTGCCCATAGCCGTGACATTGGCAAAACAAAGGCGCGTCTCAGATGGTGAGGCTGAAGTCGTCCCCGAATCGGGAGAGGACGAGCGCGGCGCAGTCAGCTGAGACTGCGACTGGGCGCTGGCCCCCTCAGGCGGCGATCACGCCGTCGGCGCAGCTGCAGGCACACCCTTGCCTGCTGCCTTGGCCGCTGCCGCCGCTGCCGCCTCCGCTGCTGCCTTCTTGGTCTCGCTGATGCGCTGGGCAGCCGCCTGCGCCCCAACCTCGGCCGCCGCCCCTGCATCGGGGCCGGGTGGCTCGGCCACGGCGGGCGACGCGGCCGCCCCCTGGCCGCCGCCGTTGTTGCCGCCGCTGCCGTCGGCCCCGTTGCCGCCGCCGCCTGGGTGCACTTGCCCGTCGCCGCGACGCTTCCTGGCCATGCGGCTCTCGATCGCCTGCTGGACTGCCTTGAGCTCCGCGAGCCACTTCTTCACCTCGTCAGACTTGGACGCGAGGTGCGTCTTCGTTGTCGCCAAATCCTGCCTGAGCTTGGCGAGGGTCTCCTTCTCGTGGCCCTCGCACTCCAGCTGGTCGACGGACTCGAAGAAGGCCTCGCCCCACGAGACTCGGAAGAGGTGCGCCTCCTCCGTGTCAGCGGCTGCGGCGGCAGCAGACTCGGTCAGCAAGCCGTCCTGCGTCGCCAACGCCTTCACCGCTATATTCTTGGCCTGCTCGGCCCTGGCCAGGGTGAGCGCTGCCTCCTGCTCACGCTGCTGAACCCGAGCCAAGACGGCCTCGGCCTTGAGGAGCGCTGCTACTGCCTGGTCGTGCTTGACGCCTGCGTCTCGCACCGCCGCCGACGCCTTCTGCAAGGACACCTCGGGGCTGACCGTGGACTCCGCCGCCGCGGCCTGCTGGCGCTTGCAGATCTGGGCCTCGAGCAGCGTGCGCATCCCTGGGTCCGTGGTGACTGCCAGCGCCTGCTGGTACGCCACGAGCTCCGAGGGCGCCGTCGACGGTGCTGGTGCTGTTCCGCCTCCGCCGCTGTCGGGCCGAAGCGCAAGCTGGTTGCTGCCGTCCCCCTTCTTCGGGCTGGGGCGGAAGAGTTCGACCTGCTTGCCGCAGTTGCACCAGCACCCGCGCTGCTGTAGCACGTTGTTCCACTCACACTTACCACAACTCTTGCACTTGGTCCAGAGAGAAGGATCCTGGGTGTCAGCGGCTACTGCGGCCGCCTTCTTGCCCTTACCCATCGCCCTCGTTGCCAACCTGATCCTGCGGCCGAACGATCGCAAGACAGGTGCCCCTCAAGCACCACGTGGAGGTGAGGCGAATCACCCCGAGAAAATGCAAAATGCGCTCGGGGCGACATGGCTTGAGAAGAGGAGGAGGAGGAGGAGGAGGAGGAGGAGGAGGAGGAGGAGGAGGAGGAGGAGGAGGAGGAGGAGGAGGAGGAGGAGAGGAGGAGAAGGAGGAGGAGGAGGAGGGGAGGAGGAGGAGGAGGGAGGAGGAGGGGGAGGGGCAGGGGGGGGGGCGGGGGGGGAGGAGGAGGAGGAGGAGGAGGGAGGAGGAGGAGGAGGAGGAGGAGAGGAGGAGGAGGAGGAGGAGGAGGAGGAGGAGGAGGAGGAGGAGGGAGGAGGAGGAGGAGGATGAGGAGGAGGAGGAGGAGGAGGAGGAGGAAGGGGAGGGGCAGGGGGAGGCGCGGCCACGGGAGGTGCGCGGCGCGCGGCTGCCCTTTCCGCGGCCCCTCGGGCCCAGCGCGGGCCCGCGCGCGCGCCTGGCGCGCGCTCCCCATCCCAGCGACGACCAACTGGCCATCGCTCGGACGCCCATGTCCTGTCGCCAAATGGTCCAGGATGTTCCTCGATGGTCCTCGCCGAAGGAACAATGCACACGTCCGAGCGATGCCAAGTCAAGAACGGGTCTGACGCAGGATGGCACGGCCACCTTCGGCGGCGGCTGACGCGGTCCGCCCTCTCGGCACGCCGCATCGGAGACGAGGGCGCGCTCACACACGACCGTACGCGGGCAGCTCACGCGCCGATGTCGGCGCAGTCGACCCCGTTTCTTTGCGTGTCGCTCACCTGCCTTTTTCGTGCCGACTCTTTTCGCGCGCGTGCCGCTGCCGCTCTGCCGATGATTCCCAGAACGCGTGGTAGCGCCAACGCGTGCTTGTCCATCGAAGCCGCTCAAGACGACGCCGCCGATGTGACGAGGGCCGAACAGGGTAACACACACACACACGCACACATTCGGCAAACACACGTCCTGAGCACGATCGGCTCCCCAAACGCGCCCGACCTTGGAGGCGGCCGCGGGGTCGGAACTGGTTGGGACACCAGAGATTCGCTACAAAATACGACGGGGCGATGAAGCCGAATCCGTCCACAAATCGGTCCCTGTACCCCTCGTGTGGTCCATCTCGTGCAACGTTTCAACCGGATCCGTTTTTTTGATGGTCCCGCGGGGGGGGGGGGGGGGCAGAGAACGCTGTCCAAAGGCAGAAACATCCTTCTGGAAAACCACCACCTGCCCGCCCATCCTGGTGGATGGAATCAGCTCAGACCCCCAGTCGGCTCCAACGCCCGACCCTCGCCTGGCCCGACCGCACCAGTTATGCTCAAGTAGGGAATCGAACTCTGTACACCGACGCATTTTCTGGCCCTGCATTGAAATTTGCACTGGAGAGCGGATCCTGGTGTAAAGGGGGCCCTGGTGTATACATGTTTCGTTGTTTCCTCAGGACATCGAGGAACAAAAGTATACACCACACACCACCCCAGCGTCGTCCCCGACCCTCAACAAGTCCTGGGATTGAAAAACAGCCCGCCACTGGTAATGTATATGTTCCAATTTCCGATCAAAATCCTGGTGAGTCCAAGTGGTTTCTCGGGCGTTGGCAGAACTGGGTTCAGTGGAACCTGGTTGAGTGATTTGTACCGGGGGCGCGCCCCCGTCCCATTTCCACTGACCGGAACCGCCGTCGCCCGAAAAAACACAAACTGTGGCAAACCTGGTTTAGTGATTCTGGCCAACTCAAAGGCTCCAGAGCCCTACCACTAACCGGGTCCCCTTACCGGGGGTCCTGGCCATACCCGATTCAGTAAAGGGGCCCCAGAACACACAAATAAATACACACAAATAAAAATATTCCCCATATTTTCTCATATTTTCTGGGTTTTTGTCCTCCCCCCCAATTCCCATATTTTCGCATATTTTCCTGGGGATCGACGATTAATTGTGTCTGTGTGTTTTTTCCCCTCCTGATTCAGGTCGTTTCGCGGCACGGCCGCGGGCGCTCTGGAGCGCCCCCCCGCCGGCAGCCCCCCGGTCGCCCCGCCCAGGCTCCAGGCGCTGCCGCTTCAGGCTGTCCTTCTCGTAGACGCTGGAGTTCGTCAGCACCCGCTCCACGGGGACCTCCCCCTCGTCGACTGCTTGGGGTTGGGGGTTGCTTCAGGCGGGGGCCGAGAGATGGGGTGCCAAGAGATTTGGAGGCAACTACTGGGAGGTCTTCGCCGGGAGAATGAAAAAAGATTGAGCCCCGTTGGGGGGCTGTTACGCTGGAATGGGCCTCGGATTACGCGGGATTGAGCCGGATTAAGCGGGATTAAGCGGGATCTAGCCGGATTAAGCGGGATTGAGCCGGATTTCGGACCAGGGCTAAATCAGACTTTGACCTCCCAGGAGTTGCATCCGAAAAGAGCCAAGCACCTTTCGTCCCCCTTCTGGGCCCCAGGGAGCCCCTTCAGGGCCCTCTAGGTGCACGAGAGGCGCACCGGGTGCACGGGTGCACCTTTCTTCCCCCCCCCGCTGGTCGCCCCCCCTTACGCAGCGTCCATGGGGCTGCAGTTCTTCATAACTTCCTGTAACGGTTGCGTTGCCCGGGGGAGGACGGGGGTGGGACCCTAGATAACGGCAACGCTGGGGCGTGGCAGGGCACGTCGGGGCGGGCGGGCGGTGCGATCGACGTAGTACGCGCGCGAGCACCCGCATGTGGGAAGGTGGGTCCAAGCCCAACCCCCCACGCCCGATCGTTGCCGTGACCCCTGAGGGGGCGGGTTGGCCCGGGTAACGACTGTTACGCAGTTCCACTGGGAGCTCCACCGAACGCCTCAGTGGCAAAGTGCCGCACACAGTCTGGAGCTACGACGCGCGTGACCGGTGCGCCGCCATGGGCGGACGGACCGCGTGCGAGACCCTGTGGGTGAAACTCAAAATGTCGGGCTACGAAACGACTGAGAGCTGTGCCGACATGGGCGGGGGGACGGTTTGCGACAACCAAAAGGCTTCTGACCTATAAACCAAGCAAGGTGGCGGGATGTGCCGAAGGCCGCTAGATGATCCGCCGCCCCCTCTTGATTGCAAGAGAGGTGCCTGGCGTGCCAAATCCTATCGTTTTTGGTTTTGGCTCTTTCCAAAAAGAACTCCCCCTGGGGCTCCGTCGCGTCCCGCCGGCCACCCGGAAAGGACCTCAATTTTGAAACAAATCCGCCAAGACAGCTCAAGATGGCCTTCAAGAAGGCCACGTTGGCCCAAGATGGCCTCCAGGATGGTCCAAAACGGTCTTCAGGACGGCCCAACAGTCTAAGACGGCCCAAGTTCGCCCAAGAGGCCCCCCAGAGGCCTCCAAGACGACCCAAGAGGCCTGAGGTACTGCAAGGAGGGCCCGAAGAGGCCCAAATCATTGACTGTCCTTAGGGTTTTGACAGATTTGGGCAGTTGCTTCGTTTCGGCCTTCCGCCTGCTCAAGACGGCCCAAGAGGCCCCCAAGATCGCCCCATGATCGCCCACGAAGCCTCCAAGATGGCCCCATGACGGCCCAAGAGGCCCCCAAGACGGCCCCAGGAGGGCCCCACGACGGGCCAAGAGGCCTCACAGACGCCTTAAATGGTCTCCAAGACGGCCCCCAAGCGCCCCAAGAGGGCCCTAAGCCGTGGCTGAGAAGCCCCCAAGACGGCTCCCGATGGCGTCAGACGGGCCAGGAACCCACCAAGATTGCCAAAGTTGGCTCGAAGCTGGCCCAAGACGGCCCAAGGGGCCTCCAAGAGGGCCTCCAGGAAGGCCAGAAAAGGCCAACAATATTCCTGTGGTTTTGAAAGGATCTTGACATTTGCTTCTTTTCGGCCTTCCGACGGCCCGAGGCGGACGAGGAGCCCCCAAAGATCGTCCAAAGGTCGCCCAAGAGGCCTCCAAGATGGCCCAAGAGGGCCCCAAGAAGAGCCCAAGACGGCCCAAGATGGCCCCGAAGACCCCGAAGATGGCCTCCAAGACGGCCAAGATGGCCTCCAAGATGACGGCCAAGACGGCCTCCAAGGCAGCCAAGATGGCCCCAAGATGCACCCAAGACGGCCCCAAGAGGCCTCAAGATGGCCCTAAACTGCCCAAAAGGCCCGCAAGAGGCCTCCAAGACTGCCCAGGAGCCCTCCAAGACGTCCTCTAAGAAAACCGAAAGCTTGGCAACCACCTGGTCCGATAGCTCGCCCGACTCCGTGTTCCTCGAAAGCTTTCGAAACCCACTCGGGGAACGCGTGGCCCGATAGCTTGGCCAAGCTCAAACCCAACGTTCGGCCACGCAGGCGCTTCCAAAAAGGCAAGGGGCAGCGGTGATTCGCCGTAGACGTCTTCGATCAAGTAGTTAGTTACTTTTAGTCTGACCCCTCCTCCATCCTCCCTTGTCCCTCTCGGAACATAGAACTGCGAATCTGTCTAAAGTGTAACCTGCCAGACCATCTCGAGCGCAGAGTCTCGAAACCCAGAACTGCGAGGATGTTTCAAACAACGCGTCAGCTCGGATCCAAGAGTTGCGAGGATGTCTCAGGCGAAAGGGGCTAGACCAATTCAGGTTACAACATCTTGGAGCCAAGAATTGCGAGGATGTCTCAAGCGAGTAGGGCTGGCCCACCTCTCCCGCGGTATCCTCGAGCCCATAGTTGCGAGGATGCCCCAGGCGAAGCGGGCCAGGCTACCTCAGGTTGGGGTATCTAGGCGGCCAGAGTTGCGAGGATGTCTCAGGCGAAAGGGGTTGGACACCACCTCTCGAGCGGCATTTCCAAAGCAAGAATTGCAAGGATGCCTGAGGCAAGACACGCTGGACGCAAACTTTCAGAAACTGTCAGGCGGATGCAAAGCAAATCCGTAGAAATGTTGTTGTTTATGGCTCGAACGCCGAATAGAAAAAACGATGAAGGGATGAGCGGATGTGGCGCAAGCCTGATAAATTTCTTCAGCCGCAAATGCCCAACCAGTACACCGAAAACCACACTGGGTCCCCCCGAGCCCGCTGCACACGGACTGCGGCCTGTCAGCTCTCTGACTGTCCGCGGCGCCGTCTGTCAGCTCGAGGCGCTGCAAGCGACGAAGCGATGGAACTCATCTGGTCCCACCCCTACGTGCCCAGAGTTGCGAGAATCGTGCGTTCGTCAGAATCTCCTGCCCTCCGGATATGCAAGTGCTCCGGAGCGAATGAGAGCAGCAGGCGCAGCGCCGAAGCGCTGCGCCGCAAGGGTTGTGGATGCCATGACAGTGGACACTCAAGCAATCCTAGCATTGGATTAACACGTGTTTAACATGTGCAAGCCATGTTCAAAAAATGTTTCATATATGTTTTAACGAATTTGCAACATGTTTGAAACAGTTGTTTGACATCGGGAAAATGTTTCGCAGCATGCTTCCTCTCCATCAATCGACTTCAACAAAAGCAAGGGTCGGCCTGACTTCGCTGAGATCTGGCATCTCTGAGGTCCGGCAGGCTTGGCGGGCGTATCGAGCGCTGCGGCCGCTCCAGAGCGCGCTTCGAGCGCGCTTCGGGGCGTGCTGGACTGGTCTATCCATCGATTAAATATATGTATATATATGTATATATGTATGTATGTATGTATGTATGTATGTATGTATGTATGTATGTATGTATGTATGTATGTATGTTGGTATGTATGTATGTATGTATGTATGTATGTATGTATGCATTTATGTCTGTCTGTCTGTCTGTCTGTCTGTCTGTCTGTCTGTCTGTCTGTCTGTTCGTCTGTCTGTCTGTATGTCTGTCTGTCTGTCTGTATGTATGTATGTATGTATGTATGTATGTATGTGTATATCCCTCGTGGGTCGATGTATAGATATGTATGTACGTATGTATATGTATATATATGTATGTCTATAGTTATATCTCTTTATACACATATATATATATATATATGTACACACTTTTGTCCTAGGTCTGCCACGGATCGGCACAGTCACCACAATCGCAAGAATCTGGGGGTCCTCCTTGTGCCAGCTCGGTGAGGCCTGGAAATGACCCCCTGGTGGTGGTTCTCTCTCTCCACTCATTCTACGGGAGGAGAGCGTCGCAGGTCTACGAAGGGACTCCATCGTTGGATGGCACCTTTGGCCAAGGGTACTGCCATGTGATGCTTGGCAGCCGTGAGTGGCGTCAGATGTTCGACCCAAGCTGACGCCGGGGAGAGAAATTTCACCCACCGTGTCTTGAAAGATTGTGATCGTGTCGTATAAAGGAACACCGAGTTCGGGTAATCGGGCCTGGCAGAGGCCTAGACCCTAGACATCAATAGAACTACTCTGGAGGACATCCTGGAAGCAAGTTTGGGGTAATCCCACCAGCCCTCTGGGCGTAGGTGGTCTAGAGCAGATCCTCTTCCACCCCTCCCTCTTCCCCCTTGGGGAGGGGTTTACCCCTCCCCCTACCCCCTCCCCTGGACCTGGACGGGGGGGGCCGCGGGTAGTTAGAGCGTCCAAGATGGCCCAAGACGGCTCCAAGAGCGCCTCAGAGAACCCAAGATGCGCTCCAAGATGGCTCAAGATAGCGCAAGATCGCTCACGATGGCTCCTAAGATGGTTCCAAGAAGCCCAAAGACGGCCCCAAGATAACTCCAATTGGCCAAACAGCTCCCCAAGGAGGCCCCGAAGAGGCCAAAATCGTCCCAAAACCTAAGGAAAATCAATGATTTTTGCTTTCTCGCCTTTTCGCTTCCGATGGCCATCCGAGGCCTGGAGATGGCTCCAAGATGGCCCAAGAGGGCCCCAAGAGAGCCCCAAAAGAGCCCCAAGACGGCCCCAAGAGCGCCCAAGAGTACTCCAAGAGCGTTCCAAGAGGGGTCCAAGAGGCGATTTTAGGGGCTTCCGAGGGGGGGCGCTAATTAAACCCCCCCTCTTGTTTGATCGACTCCCTCCAAGATGGCCACAAAAGCGCCCCGAAGGCTCCCCAGAGCGCCTCAAGAGGGTCCCAAGAGGCGCCCAAGATGCCCCAAGGCGCCCAAAAAGCCCTCCAAGAGGCCCTCAAAAGACCCCCAAGAAGCTCCTTCCCCTCCTTCTCCTCCTCCTCCGATTCTTCCTCCTTCTCCGTCCTCCTTCTCCTCCTCCTCCTCCTCCTCTTCCCCCTCCTCCTCCTCCTCCTCCTCCTCCTCCTCCTCCTCCTCCTCCTCCGACGACTCCTCTTCCATCCTCCCCCTCTCGGGGTCTGTGACAGCTTCCCCCGCCCTTTGTTATTCTGCATGCTCCCCGACTTCCCTGATCACCTCAACTCCCCTGAGCATCGTTTCTGGATGGGCTGGTGGGGATACGCGAAGCGTCAACAATTGCAACCATCTGCACCACTGTACTGGTACCAACGGCAAAGGCAGAAACTGACCTACATAGTGCTAATTGCAACCACACCCCTGACCTCTCCGTTGACGGTGAGGCGGGTGTCGGCGTAGGTGACAGGGTGGGAGCCTGGCGAACGGCTCACATAACATCCATTCTCAACTTATTGAAAGAAACCAGTAATGTGCATGTGGTAGACATGCGCGCAGCCGAACCAATTTGTGCACTGTCCTCCCTCCTCCACCTCTCATTTCTCCTTCGCCGTCGTCGTGTCCTGCGCATCCTCCTGAGGGAATGCTGCGTGGAACGAAATATGATATGTATGCGACTTCTGGAACAACTCTGCGCGCTCACTGAAGCTACTCCAAGGTCTGTACCAATTCTGGCGCCAAATCGTTGCATTGACGACTTGTCACTGACGGAAACGGACAATGATGGTATGAAGCTGCCTCAGGCACATCTGCGCCATGACTACAGAGGGGCGCTTGTCTGCATGAGATTCCCTGTTCGACAGTACTCAACAAAGGTGATGAGCTGTTCGTGCCTCCTCTCCGCGCAATGGGTACAGTGACCGCTCCACTCCAGGCAGATACACGCCATCGTCCACAACTCTACGTGTGACATAACCCTGAGCAGACCTGAGAAGTGACTTACGCAACCTCCTACCCACAGTGCCTCGCGAATACCAAGTACAGGAGCGTACGCAAGCGCATCTCCAACGCTAAGAGACAACGTCGGGCACACGTGGAACTGGCCCTCGCATGCTTGTGTTTCGGGTTCATGAGAGCATACGTGACACCCGGCGCTGTCCGATTTGGGCATGACGTGGACCGAATTTGGAACACACTTGGACTAGATTTTGACCAGATTTGGACCAGACACGCTCCATCACGAGGGAGACGTTGGCGATGCATCGGCGCCATCGGGTGGTGAAACTCTGGCTCCACATCGAGCCGCATCGTCGATGCGGCGCGATCCTCCGACCCCAACTGGGAGGCCTAAATCCCATGAACAGACATCGAACACGTTGAGCGCCACGCGCTCCCGTGGCCGCGCAGCAGCCGCGCCCCGAACAGTCAAGCAAGAGCACGAGGTCACACGGAGACCGCGCGACGCAGCTCTGGACGGGCAACTCCGTGGAAACGTCACCGGTCCGCCCAAGTTGGACGGGGAACAGATTTCGGGAGCGGCCAAGAGGGGGGGTCCAAGATGGGGGGGTGCAAATCCGCCGATCCGGCGTGTGAGTTTCTGAGAGCGTGGGCTTGAGCTCGCTCAAGTTTCGCTCTGCAAGGGAAGGGGGGCAACGCAAACGACGAAAGAATTGACACGCAAGGCCTCCCCAATGCCGGGACCGCCACCCCCCCCCTGCACCTTCCTCTCCGGCGCCCCCCCCCCCTCTCTTCCTGCACCCCCCCCATTCCCCTGCAATCCCCTCTCCGCCCACCCCCCCTGTTCCTTCCTGGACCCCCCCCGCCTCTGCACCTTCTCTTTCCCCCAGCTCCCCCCCCTTCACTGCGCCCTGGACAGGAGAGAGGGGGGGGGGGAAGGCTGAGGGAAAGGTAGAGAGTGGGGGGGGGGGGGGGGGGAACAGGGGAGAGAGGGGGGGGGACAGGAGAGAGGAAGGGGGGGGGGGGGACAGGAGAGATGGGGGGACGAGGGGGGGAAGGGGGGGCGACAGGAGAGCAGTGGGGGGAGGGGACAGGAGAGTAGGGGGAGGGAAAAGGAGAGAGGGGGGGGGACAGGAGAGAGAGGGTTGGGGGGGGGGAAAGGGATGAGAGTGGGGGGGGACAGGAGAGGGGGGGGGGACAGGACAGGAGAGCCTGCGCGGAGACCGGATGAGAGGGGGGGGGGGACCGTCCTGGAGCTGGGATATAAAAGGAAGGGGGTGGAGGGACAGGAGAGAGGGGGGGGGGACAGGAGAGAGGGGGGAGGGGGAGGGCAAAGGAGAGAGGAGGGGAGAGACAGGAGAAAACGGGGGGGGGGCAAGAGAGAGGAGGGGGGGTTGGGGGGAGCCGAGATCATGACAATCACCATCACCATCACCATCGTCACATCACCACCATCATCATCATCATCATCATCATCATCACCACCATCACCAGCATCATCATCATCGTCATCATCACCATCATAATCATCATCACCATCATCATCGTCATCATCATCATCACCATCACCAGCATCACCATCATCACCATCATTATCATCATCACCATCATCATCATCCTCATCATCACCTTCATTATT